TGCATGCAAAAGTATATTACAAGGGGGTATGACGCAATTTTTAAAATACAGGGGGAAAACGCGCAGATTTCGTATATTACAGGGGGGTTTGGTGCAATTTACCCATCTTCTTTATGTGTATCTGAAAAGTCAAATATAGTTATTTATTAATATTTACTTTTTGTATTGATTCTAATTTTTTAACTGACGGTTACGTTTTCAATAAAAAAAGTAAAGCCACGTCTCTTCAGTTTCTTTTCAGTTTCCTCCTTTTGCAATCGGTATGCCCATTTGTTTTAACGGATGCAAAAAACAATTGTTTAGAGTGCAATATCAATATACTTTTCTGAAACAATTAACTGATTAGTTTCTATTTGTTGTGTTTTTGTAATCTTATCTTTAGTTGGTATGGAATATTTTCATGACTATGACTTTTTTTTTTTTTACAAGGATCTTCCGGTTTTCGAATCCACAGGGGAACCGATTAATCCGGAATATTTTCATGACTATGACTCTAGTTGGTACAAGGACTATGACTTTCATTTTATATGTAGTTGCACTAAATTTCATGTTTTCATTGTACGGATTGGCTAATTTCTTGAACTATGTTTTTTTTTCTTGAACACCCATTTTTTATGTTTTATAATGATTATCTTTTAGTTAACTATATGTTGATTTATTATTTTTTTTCTGGTTTTTTTGTCATTATTTTTTAAATAACTTTATCATTTTTATTTAATATAGTTTTTTCTAATGTCTCATTTTTAATGATTATATGTTTCAATTTAATCATTATAATAAAAATTACTGGAATATTGAATGGAAGTTTGTTATCAATTCCATACCAATCAAAATTTATTTACACTTGCAGCATATATTAGTTGATAAATACAAGTTTTAATTACTTGTGGCTTTTTAGTAATGCATGCATTAAATAATAATTCTTCTTTTATATGTACAACTATGTATATTTAGAATCACTAACACTTGCATCTAAAATGTCTATTTATTATGTCTGTAACATACTGACAAAAATCTAAGTTACACACATAATTTCAAAATCTCCACGTCGTTCAATTTATATGAAGGCATTGTTGATGATTTAAGTCTTACCTGCTTCCAGGCTTGTAAAACTAAGTTTTATAAACAAACAGAAGACCATGTTTGATTATGTAAATACCAAATTCACTCTAGATTGTGGATCCACCTTTACGTAAATCCATGAATCGTTCAACATTGAATAAAAAAAAAAAAAAAAAACACTCATTAATCAACATTCAATGTCAATCTAAACTACATTTTCCTTAGTAACACCCAATGGTTTGCTGGATTGCAAACAAATCTTCTTCCCACCTCTTTCCAACGCTGAAACGAATCTCTTCTTCTTTTTCCTTCCCGTACATGATTGCTCTTCAGGTGGAACAACCTCAACTTCTTTTGTTGATCCATCCGATGAACTTATCAATTCAAATTCAACTGGATATACTGATGCATTATAAGTAGTCAACATAGTCTCTCTGAAATAGTAGTTGGAACAATAATTTTCTGGCTCTTTTTGTTTTCCACGAATAATACAAACATCATGAGCACAAGGCATTTCATCCATTTGGAACTTATTACATGTACATGTCCTTCTCCCAAGGTCAACAATGAAAATATGAGGACCGTTGCTCACTTTGTATATTTCGTCACTTGCTTTTTGCACCTATGATCACAAATTGTTAAGTGCAGCTTAAACAGTTTATGTAAATAAATAAATTAAATTATTTTTTACATAATATATTTACTTACTGTATATTTCATAGATGCTATGTAATTTTCTTCAAGCATCTTCTGGCCAAATTTTGCAAGCTTTGTGAATGTATTTTGGGCTTCAGTACGGTTCTTAACATTCCAATCTTGTTGTATTCCCCTAACACTTTCCAACAGTAGGGTAATTGGAAGTTCACGAGCAACCTTCATGGTGGAATTTATCGTTTCTGTTGCGTTTGATGTCATGACTATGAAACGTGCCTTGCAATGTAAACGAGACCATTTTTCTTTGCCAATAGTTTCTGTTAAGTATTTTAACACATCATTGTTGGCATCTCTAATGGTTTCCATGTGATGGTTATACTCGGAAGGTGTGTACGCATATGCCGCAGCAAAAAATGCCCCTTTCACTGCCTCAATGTTCTTTTTGTAGTTCGTCATTATAGTCTTCGACAAATGATAGATGCAAAGGAAATGAGCGACATCTGGATACACCTACAATATATAATTACTCAAAATATTATAAATAAATTTCATGCTTATTATTATATTTATTTTAAATACATGTTTGTATTTAATTTCACATAATTATAAAAAACTATTCAACAGTTAATATTTTTAATTTTTTCTTTACATAATACATAAAAAACAATAAGCCCTGCCTTCACAATTTTGGAATGCCAATAAAAATATGTAAGCGTGTGTGTAAAAAAAAAAAAAAAAAATGCCCTGCCTCCACCTTTAAATGATATAAATTCATGACAGATAATGCACTATAAAAGCATCAAGTACATGCACCATATGCAAACCACTCTGTTACCCATCAAAGGGACTAATATATCTAGTTTTCTTTTCGAAGGACGAGGTCCTATGGCAACAATGTAGCTGTAATCATCAAAGGTTCCTTACAATATTATCATTTTCATTAACGAGGTAAAATCATAGTTACCGCAATTAATCTACTAATAAGATCATATTCAACTATAATAAAGGGAAGTATAAATGGTCTGTTTACTCGATTGCAGATGATGTGCCATATAAACTACTAGAATAATGTGCTTACCTTTGAGATTGCATTCTTGATGCTTTTATGCTGATCTGAAATTATGCACATGCCTTCTCTCTCTGATAAAGCTGATTTTAACTTTGAGTAAAACCATTCATATGCATTGTTGTTTTCAGAATCAGCTACACCAAAGGCAAGAGGAAGAATGTGTCCTGCAGCATCTTGTGTGCTTGCTGTTATTAGTATTCCCCCATAAGTTGCTTTCAAGAAGGTTCCATCCACAATTATAATTGGGCGACAGTGATTCCAACCATTTATGGAAGCATGCAGTGATATGAAGACGTACTCAAATTTCTTTAATGAGTCTGTTCTCAGTGTTATCATTGATCCTGGATTTGATTCACTCAATTTTCCAAGATATCCTGGAAGGATTTGGTAGGATGTATATGGATGACCGTGTACCCTCTCCAACGCCTTTTGACGTGCTCGCCAAGCCTTTTTGTATGATAATGTAACACCGCACATCTTCTTCATGTCTCTTATTATGCCTGCCGCCGTGTATTGGGTTTTGAAGTTTTCAAATTTCTCCTGAATGCAGTAACCCACTATATCTGAAGTTGCTTGTCGTTTTTCATTCATTCTGCATCCGAAACTGCATATATGATCTTCTGAAACTTTCTGAATTTTAAATGTGGGTGCATTGTTGATTCTTGAAGCCTTTACGGACCACGAACATGCTTTGTCGATGCAATTTATGTAGAACAATCTACTGCATGATTTCACAACCTTAAACTGAAAGTGGTGCTTGATGGCGTACAAACTAAGAAACCTATTCAAATCTTTCTTGTCTCTGAATGTTTGTCCTGGAATGATTTTTCCATGAAGACTTGAAGATAGGTCATTCACTTCGTTCTTCAATTGCTTTCCATCTATCAGTTCCATTTTTTCATATCCAATTTCTGCAAGTGTAGTTGAACAGTTTCGAGCATACTCTACAAGCCGATATTCTCCTCTTCTTTCATTTTTAGCAAGTTGTCTGCCATCATTTGTAGAGGTTCTACCTGGAATGTTTCATTTCCAGCCAAAGTTGCACCAGTGCTGCTAGTTAGTGCCAACATGTTGTTATTGAGTTTCAGTGAAATGCAAAGTGGCCACCTTGTGCAATCTTCCTCATTTTTCTTGAGTTCTTTGTAGAACTCCAGACTGCTTTCGTCGTTTATTGTGATTGGAGGGTAGCCATCTTTCAACTGATATTTCACTATCATTGATGTGCTTGAGGTGTTGATCTTCAGTTTCTCTTCAATTTTACTACATAAATCCATAAAAGTTTCAGATTCTGTATGAAAAATTCCACAAACCTCAAATCCTACATATGTTACATCATTCTTCCATTCGCCATTGTATTGCACAACTATTAGAGAATTTCTCATTTCCCTGCATATTTATAAAAAAAACAAATTATTTGTCGTTATTATAATATTTTTGCTGTATAATTAATATACAATTGTTGTACCTAATGCATATATATTTTGTTAAATAAATGTATATATATACCTTTTTCCCGAAGTTTCTGCTTCCTATTTATTCAAATCTTTTGATTCCTTTGATAACTTTTCTTCTATGATGCTTCTTGTTTCTTCAAATATCTTGAAGCCCAAGATTCTCTTTTGCAAGACTATTTTATCTCCTTTTTTTCGTCTTTTTTTTCAGAAGGATGAATGTGGAGTTCCGTGTGTGGATTGCACTGTTTCAATTATTTTAAATCGTGGTGGGTATGGTATAACTTCTTGGTACCTTTTCTTTTTTTATTTCTTTTATTATTTATGTCCCGTCGGTTACACCCATTTTGAAAGTTATTCAGCTGCTATATTTGGCAGTATTGGAATTTCTAGGGGTGCTTCCTCATCATGGAATTTATCTCTAATAGAATGGCAGTTATCAAATTTTGCCGCTGTAACCGTGTAAACCATAGAAAAAGGAGATAAAGTCAGTGTCCCACATTGGAAGTATAACAAAGCAACAAAGTGTATATATTTAGAACTCAAAATAAGCCGGTTTGAAAAATCGTTGGGCCACTGGAGCCGGGATCAGTTCTGCGGTTGCCAGTGGTTTTGAACGGGCCCAACGGTTTTCAACCGGTTTTTGGGCCCAACGGTTTTACATCCCAGTCCGAACCGCTATGATGGTCGGTTTCTGGTCGAATCGGTCTGTCCGGTCTGGTTTTTAAAACCATAATCATATAGACAAATGTGATTCCAAAACATGCGCTTGCCACTTAAGACTCAAATTGCCTTGCTAGATGGGCATTGGACTTGGCTATCCAATAAAGGAAACGTTTGTTTGTTTCTGATTATTGTTTTAAGCATGTTGTCGAAGAGATAATACTTCTTGTGATTTTATTTCCAGGCCTTCCCTTTTAGTTAGTAGTAGTTTAGCCAAGTTGGCTTTGGTGAGGGAGTAGTGTTTTGCTCCCCCGTTTGTTGCCTATCTATCGTCTATTATAGAGATGATACTTCTTGTGTTCACTTAAGCACCCTTGTGTACATTTTTGAGTTCTTATTATTATATTGTTCGTTTGGGGAAAAATAACCATGTTGCAATTGTGTAATTATATCAATGACGACATGAGCTTTAACATAACAACACACTAGTACAGTAGCCCGTGTAAATGCACGGGAGCTACGAAAAAAAAAATAAAAGAGCATTTGCGATTCATACAAATGCATAACGATGAAATATATTGAACACTTCATTATATACAACGTTCTTCGTCTTTGAGGTATTTTTATCATCACATATTTTAATATTTTCAATGATTTCCCATTTGTAATTCGTGAACATGCGACATAAAGTTGGTCATGCGTAAATACATAGTTCTTTAGGTATAACATTCATATAAATTACTCCTCAATAACTAAAATATATATTTTATTTTTTATATGAATAAGATATTATTATCGATTCATGCAATAAATATATAGTTCTTCAGGTATAATATTCATATAAATTAATACTCAATAACTTAAATATAAATAATGAGTCCTTACAAAAGGAGTCTTTAGCCAAATCGGTAAAACGTTATAAGTTCAGAAAATTTTCATCTTGAAGTTCACCATAAAATCTATCTTGAATCTTGCTATAGTAGTTTTATATCTGCCGCTTGGTGCTACAATTATAAAGTGTGGATACCAATGACTTCAAAACGATTGAACAGCACTACGTGAATTTTTTGATTGAGCATGGATTATACATCCATGTAAAACCTTACAAACACAAATATTAGGAAATAAAATTAAATAGAATATGTATAATGACTATTTATAAACAAAAATGTCTTAAAAGAATCACCCCCACAGTCTTGGAATATTAAGTCTTTTGATCTTTTTAATCTTGAAAACAGTCATTTCGTAACATCGCATCACACAGACTTTGATACTCCATCCTTTTTTTTTTATACATTTTTTACCCGTGTGTAAGAAATTGTTTTAATAAGATATGATAGAGATGTGAATGTGATTATAAACTACCACATATATATCGAAAAATGCCAATGTGAAAGATTAAGCCCTTCACGATGTAACTTCCAAACGTGTGTATTTTTAACTTCCAACGACTTTAACTTCACGTTTATGGTTTTACTGTATATCTTACAAAATAAAAAATGCATTCAAGTCATTCACAATGTAACTTCCAAACGTGTGTATTTTTAACTTCCAACGACTTTAACTTCACTTTTATGGTTTTACTGTATTTTTAAATTCTTAGACTGCCTTGAAAGATTCAACTTCTTAGACCGTCGTGAAAGATTCAAGCCACTCACTGTAACTACAAACATGTGTATTTTTAACTTCCACGACTTTAACTTCACTACTATGGTTTTACTGTATTTTTAACTTCCATATATTAGACGTGTTACTGCGTTGTGTTAATGTTTTTTTTTTAAAAAAAAAAATCGCATATTATTTTGGACTTTGTTTAGTGTTGTTAAATATGTTTAATTGATTTAGGTATTAAAAAATAATTGTTAAATATGTTTGAAAATTTAGATATTAAAAAATAAAATATTTTATGAACATACATAAGATAATTAAATACTACTATTTAACACTTAAATCATATTTTTATGTTATTGTCGATATTACTAATAAATACAAAGGTATTTACGAAATACTCTTTATATCATGTAATATGATATTTATTACATATATTACATATATATGTACAATACTGCTTGTTAAGTGGATTAATTTAATCATGATTATATGTTTTGGATTTTTCGACTTGTTGTAGAAAATGAATAAAAAAAATATTCTACAAACAAAATGTATTTATTTATTTATTATGAAGAATGTTTGTGTAATTCATTAGGCATGTTTTAAAACATTTTATATCTAATTTCGCTATTATTAGATTTAATTTGTAGGTTGTAGAAATGAAATAAAAAATATTCTACAAACATGTTGTTAATTATTTATTTATTTATTATGAA